TTTATTGTGCATTTGAGGAGCATTATTTGAGCCTGGTCAGAAAATTAATCTGTGGATATATTGTCCTGTTTAGTAATGTTAAGAGAATTGCACTCTTTTCAGACTTGTTGGAGCTATGCAATCTACTATCATACAAGTGAGTGTCTACTTCATATTCTAGAAAAATGTAGAAGAAAATATGAATTGAACTGATAACCTAAAGGTGTGTAGAATTTAGTGACTTCTTGTGGTGAAGCTGCATGTTGCAGCTGAACACCTCTCAACTCACCCTCCCCTTCCAACAATGAAAGAGAACCTGGTAAACTTCAGTTGTTATAAAAACTCAAAAGGTTTTTAGTTTGTCCAGTTTGGACTAATGTAAAAAACAAAGTATTTAAATATAAAGGGCTCATTCTAAGGTAAAGAAAAAAACAGTCGTACAATTTGGATGAAACAATCTAGTGAAAACATCACTAGGTATATTTTATTTTCAATTTCTGCCAATGGATCCCTTTAACCTAAATCTTACACACTGGACATTTAAATAGTTTATTTGTCATTAATCATAAATAAAAGGGGGAATAATGTTCCTGGATCCACACCTGAATCTGCATCTGGAAGATTCTTTCAGACAATGAACCCAGGATGGTCTCCTGAAATTATCAGGATGGGCTGCCAATGCAAATGTCAGAGTCAGTTGCTGCAGACATTTTCCTGAGTTTCTCCTCCTTTTCCAGTCCCCTAAACTCCACATTATGCCCAAATGACCAAAAACGTAAAAAAACAAAACAATACTTGATCTACTGGTCGATCTCAGCAGTCTTCACTGTCGATCCCTGTAACTCTCTGGACTCACCGGCTGTGTCAGTTGTCTGTTGTTCACACGTACTGTGTGTCTGTAAATCTCCTGCATTTCCTTCAATACAAGTAAGATTAAGTACTAAACTAAATGTCAGGACTCTACGGTATGAAGACATGCATCTTCTGGTCTGTCGATAACAGTCAAAGACCTGTTAGAATGAATGAATGGATTCAGAAATTAAAACGCCAGAGTGCTTTTACTTTGAAATGGTTTCGGAAATACGTTTGTGATATAGACAGATAAACATTGTGCTTCACTGCAGAATAAACAGAGAAAATGATCTTTCATCTGTTTTTTAATGTATATCTGTTGAATGTTGAATTTATGTCACAAACATAAATGGTTGCACCACTTTCTGTAGGTGTTTCAAAATAAAACCAATCCCGCGTTTCTATTGACTGAATCCACTGTTATGTTTAAAAAGAGGCTTTAGTATGAAATATTTGCAGGAGCAAACGATGCACAGCTTCATACTGTATAGTACTGGTATTTATTTGAGTACACAGGAATATTTTTATACAAGGAAATAGTCATATTTCTGGCCATATTTCAAGACAAAGCCTATAAAAAACATTGTGCTGCAGTAGCAGCTGCCCTGCAGAACATATTGTTGAACTGAAGCTACCCACTGAAGCTCAATACTGTGCATTGAACAGATTATGTTAATATAAATTGATATTAATGTGAATATTCTGCGTTGAATAGATAAAGTTGCACAACTGACTTTCTGTGTGTTTATTTATGCTCGTACATTCAGCCTTAAACAGAAATTGAAAAAAATTGTAAATATGACCCTCCTAAGTGAGTTTTTTGGAAGATATCTCGGCTAACGCCTACAATTAAATATTGATCTTGGGCTCAAAAATATTGGTGACCACTGCCCAAAAGAATACAAATATCTACCTGTACAAAACAGGTGTCTTCTACAGGTAGAAGACAGAGAAGAACTTGGAAAGACAACATGATTTAATAGGTTTTGGTGTTCTGTGCTGAATGGAAACAGGTGATCTCCATAGCAGAATTTATATACAGTACATCTTGCCTCCTCAATGCTTTTTGTGTTGTTGTGAACGCATCTGATAGCAGAGTCTCCTGCTGCTTCATATGTGAAAGGCAAAGTCTGGACAAAGTCCAGATCCCATTGTCTGGACATTTCCCGCAGTTCATGTCTGAGAATGGTTTTAGTGTGTGTAATTTGCTGTAGTCTGATTGAATTTAAGAGTGTTGGCCTTAGTGGAGGTATGCACCCTACCGACAGCTATTGTGGCTTAAATGTGAATTATATGAGGCCATCAGCCCAAGTATCTTTTTTAAGAGAAAATACTGACAGCACAAAACCCTGAAAGTGGCACTAATAGAAGCACTTGGCAGTCCCTCTTAAATTAATGATGTCCTTCACCAACCAAGTCTCAGAAAAGAACAAGAGTCCTGTGCATTAAAAAAACCCCACACTGCTGCTTCTTACAGTGCGGAAACACATTAAGATACACCTTGTGGGGATTGTACTCTTGGGTGTACACAGTCCCTCTCTGGCTCCGACAGCATCTGTGAAGTGACGGTTAGCAACAGGACCAACTCATATCACTTACACCAACGCAGTGACACGTCACAAAGCCTCCCCGGATGGCACGCAGAAAACAATGAGTCATGCTTCATTAAGAGAAGGTTACTAAAAAAGCTTGTTGATGTGATTAGTAACCTGTCTATCACATCAAATTTAGCCTAAAACACTGCTATATAACACCAACGCAAACAAATAGAACCAATTCCAGAGGTTGGTCATTATAGCTGAGTCACTCTTTAATAAGAACTGGAGGAGAGGGAAGCGGGGGGGGGGGTTTGAGGCTGTAATGTGTGTTCATATGACAGGGAAGAAAGGAAGCACTGCAATTTATGACTTAATCTGAAATCTGGAGAATCTTTAGGTACAGTGATGACTTGTCCAGGATATTGTCATTGCTTTTAATTATGTGAACACGTATAATTTTCATTCATTTCATCTATCATTTGAACATAACACATAATTTGTTTTGGTTGCCCTTATTAGAAACTGCAAAACAAGTACCACAGTTCTGAAGCTATTTTGATTTGTCATTTAATCAGTTCACACATTTTTGAAGGAGAAATATAAAACATTTACTAGATCCACTTTCTCAAATGTGAAGTTTTGCTGCTTGTTGTGGTCATAGATTTGATTTATGTTAGTAAATGAAATATTATATAAAGTTATCAACTGTTGTTCAGTCAAAAAAAGCTTTTTGAAGACGTCACTTTGATCTCTGGGAAACTATGTTGAGAATTTTCTTTTTAATTGATCAGTATCTTAATTGATTAAATAATCAAAACAGTTCACAATAATTTGAATAATCATTCAAACTGTTGTAGTCTTTTCAATTCCATAATTTTTGTTGCCAGTTTTTTTCCCCACAGTCATCTTGGATTGTAAACTAAATATCAAAAAAAGGACTAAAATATTTTGAATTTTTGGTTGAGGTTTTTTATGGGTGTGTATTGTTTTTCTGACATTTGCTGTCTAAATGGACACAGGATGGATGACATAGAGAGGGAGAGCAGCAATTGGATTTGTAGGTTAATAGCCTCATTGACCACATAACTATCTCATTACGCCCTATTTCAGGCTTCAGTCAGAGCCAGATAGAGCTGTGCTAAAACCAGAGTGTAAGCACTGCAATGAATGAGCTCAGTTCAAAACATCAGAAGATTGGCAACTGGCACTATTAGAGCTTTTAGCGCCCAATTTATCCTCTGCTCACTGATGCAATAATCCGTGATGTAAAGCATCAGTTTGGGTGCGGGAGCGCTGCAGCCTTTGGCCGGGTGCAGCGCTGAAGTATCTCTGTAAGCAGAGGCAGGCGGGCTGGATTATTCCAGGGTCAGGACCATGGGATTAGGTCCAGGGATTATCACAGCTCAGTCAGGGAGACAACAGCCTTCTCAGCCCCTGGAATTGTACAAAAGACTGACAGTCAGCAGGACCAACCACCCGGCCGCCATCATGCTTTCTCCCAGTCTGTCTATCCTCTGTCCTCCTCTTGCTCATCCACATATCAGCTGCAGAAGAGTGTCCTAAATGCTGATTCACTGCCACTGCAGGAATTTTAATGTGAAACTAATTCTGTTTCGGTCATGCTCCGGGCGATGACTGCTCTGTTAAAGATAAATGTTGGTTGAGGGTAAAACATTTGCGCAAGGTGGTGACATTATATGCCTGATTTCCCTCTAGAACCCAAAGATGTTCATTGTACAATAATGACATGAAGAAAGAAAAGGAAAAATCTGACAGTGGAGAAGCAGGAACCAGAGAAAAGAATTTTAACTTAAGAATAACAATGTTCCTTTGATGTTCCATGTTTCCCGTCATTCGACCATTCATATCAACTTGTTATAACACTATTAACTAATAACATTGTCCAGATATCATAAGGTAAATGCAGGTAGCACTTTTTGAAACAGTTACAAAGTGTCTTAAAATAAACAAGACAGCAAATAAATAAAATAAACAAATCCGATAAAATCAGGAAGTAGATGTGTGTTTTAGGATGGGATGACACTGACTCATGATTTCCTCAGACAAGTTGTCTCGTAGCGTTGGGGCCCTGACAGCGAAGACAGTGAGAAAATTCCACCTGAGGATCACAAATCACACAAAGGTTCATACTGGATTAAAAGATCTCAAATTAAATCAGGAGCTGTGACGGGCCTTAAAGGTGATCAACAAGATCCTAAAATCAACCCTAAAACAAATAGGGAGCCAGATGTAGAGAGACTAACACAGATGTGATGGTTCCACTAAACAGTTGAGCTTCTGAGCCCTGACCAGTCTGAAGAAAGTCTGTTAGTTTATCTACAGTTTCCAGTAGATCATAAGGACAATATGATATCAGCATGTCAACCAGGAATACCTCCACTAATGGTCAACAAAGTATAAATATGAAATAAAAAAATATATGATGAAATATAAAAAAATACTATGGATGTTGATGAGTTTTAGGCTCTTCAACTCCTCTGGTACTTCACTGCTTCACTGTTCTTCTGGATTCTATCATACATGTTGCATGCAGCAAGTTGTACTTCAAAATAAATGATGCATCATCTGCACAAAATCCTCCATACTAAATGTCTTCCATTTCATGTCTAGGACAACGCTGTGCGAATGAGTGATTGATGCCAACTCCGCTTCTTCAGGTAAACAACATGTAACACGCAGGCTATCATAATACAAGTATTTCATTTTCATTGACATGTATTATCTTCCAAAAATGAGCATGTCGGTTTATGATTGAAGAAGAAATATAGCTGGTTATATAACACATAAATCCTTAATCTTTTGGTCCTAATGCATAACATTTCTGGGTTCTCATATCTCAGTGATACTCATAAGTTTTGTTTTTGACTCATATCTTTGTGTTCCTTATGTAGGGCAGAATGGGTGTGTGTCCCCTGCTCCTGCTGCTTGGTCTAGCCCTCGGGGCCTCGGCCCAGGATCAAAGCCCCATCACAAGTATGAACAATATCCATCTTAACAAATGCCTTCATTCACTCACCTTCTTCAGTTCACAGAGAAAATATGCAGAAAATGCTCCATGGCATATGTTTGTTCTTTTTTTCCAGGTCCTCCTAATATCACTGCCAAACCCACAGACCCCCCAACCGCACACTCCCTCAACTTTACAGTCGCCCCCACTCCAGCACCCCCGGGCCCTGACACAACGCTCGCCCCTGCGGTCGTCCCGGTGACGACAGTAGCGACGACCACCACAACCTCAAGCCCAGCTGATGGAGAAAACGTAGAACCAGTGGATCCCAATGCTGCTGCAAAAGTGTTACCGGTTCCTCCTCCCCCACCTCCGGCTCCAACTGATGCCCCTCAGGCACCACCGAGCTCCGAGCCTCCCCCCGGAGAGGGGGGAGACAACGACACCACAGCCCAGACCCCAGACATCCCAACTATAGACACTTACACAGATGAGGAGCTATTCACTGTGGAGCCAGAGACCACCACAGAACCTGAATTGGAGTTCACCACAGACTCCAGCCCACATGGTGAGTACTGCACACTTTTTTATCCTACAGTTATGAATATTCTCTTTTCTCATTTTGATGTGAGCATACTTGATGCATGATTCAAGTTTATACCAACTTTGGTCTCATTTCCCATATGTTTTCCCCCATAATGCCTTTCAGTACTAATTACATTGTACCCATCTCCAAAAAGAACTCTTAACTTTACAGAACAACTTCCTAGTTCTACTACAAGTTTAGTGGGTGCTCACAATCTGCTTGGAGATGAGGGATTACTGACACTGACATATCAGGTGCCCTCTGTGTTGGTTTAACCTACAAGTTGAATAAAGCGGTGGTTTGTTTACAACCAATATGATCAACAACTACTCACTTTTTTCTACTCAGTTTGTAGTAGTGATGTCACCTGTTTCTCTGGTGTGTCATTATAATAACTAAAGGAAATGGTGGCCATAAATTTTAGAATATAAGACAAGATGTCGAATTTCCCTTGTACCTTTGAAGGTCTTCTGCACAATTTAAGTTACCAACTACCAGTAGATGTTAGCAGGTGTTAGCGACCGCCAGCGGATGTTAGGGGCATAGCCTGATATGTCATCAAGTATTTTGTACTTGCAATCAGTGAAACAGGCCCAACTTGAGGAGGGCTGAGGCTAAAGGTATATCTGACTGGCTAATGGCAGTACTATAAAAACCATGTTGCCAGCTCAGAAGATCAGACATCATTATCTCGATGCCTTTTCAAACTAAACACTGTCCCAATTTTAGAACATAGGACAAGATGAAGAATATCCTTCCTTGTATGTTCTACGCAAGTAGAAAAGTACAAAAAGTCTTCTAAGTACAAAAGTGCATTAGAGCCAGGTGGTAAAGGTATTGATGAAAACTAAATCTGACCGATATTAAAAAATATCTGTTATAATGATATATAAGCTGATATATATTTTTAATAAATTGCAATTATTCCTGAGTAGTCGTATCAAATCCTTATGCCAAAAAAAAGTTATTGTAGTAACAGTACACATTTTTACAGTGATCATAAATAGCTCTAGTCAAAAAGAAAATTCAAATAAATCTAAATATATAAAGTTTTAATTAAGGCCAAAACTTTTTTTTATTTAAAATGTAAACACATATGCAATTTTTTCCGGTATTGTTTAGTCAGTAAAATAAAATATGTGTCCTATAACGGCACATATGGACAAACATTTAAACCGATACCTATAAGTCTGTGAAAAACTAATATAGGCTGATATTATTGGTCAGGCTCTAATAAAAACATGTCAACCTCTCGTTGCGTCTATGGAGGAAACGTCAGCCCTGAAACATGATCCTCAAAGTTACGAAACAAGGGATTCTATTATCACGATGCAGCACCGTCCAACAGTAGGCTCAGAGAAGGGTGGGAAATCATTAATATGGTCAGACCCGGTGTGTGTTGAACCCAGATATTTGCCGATTGTGACTTGTTATTCACGTTTTTTTTATACAAGCACAAAAACGTGCTGACTTTTCTGTCATGGCTAGCCTAGTAATTTGCTTCAGTTCCACCCTCTTAAAACTTATCCGACATGTTGCATATGACTGTCAGAGGCTTTTGCTGCTTTAGCCTCATTATAAAGGTCCTTTTAAAGTGTGCCTATCTTCCTCCTGCTGATTAAAATGGATGTTGGGTGCAGTCAGCCCTCCTACTTGTCATCAGATCACTTCGGATACATTTTAAGCTTCATAAGAATAACTCCCATAACATATTCATGGTATATGCTTTTATTTTTTGGTTCTGTGTATTTGTGTTATTCATGTTGGCCAGAAAAGCTGTAGCAACAGCTAGGAAAAAGCAAGTGAGCTCTCAGTTCAAGAGCCGACCTTTAATATTTTAGGTAGTTGAACATTTTTCTGCTTTTAGTGTCCGACGTAGCTGTGTGGGACATGTCCTTACGTGACATACCTGCATTTGAACAGTCATCCACACGAATAAGAATACCAACAAAACTGCGCCAAGGCACTGTCATAAGTGTCTGTTATTTTAATGTTAAGCAGTCCTGTATATATTCATTTTATGAAACGCTCCCTGTGATGTATTCAAGAAATATTCATTTGAAATTTGTTAAAATCTTTAACTTTTATCAGCTTTGAGTCTCTGTGCAGAGGATCCTAGTAATATCCTTGGAAGTGAAACACGACTCCCCCACCATTTTCTTTGACATTAATTATTCAGATGACATGATTATAGAGAGATACACAAATCACTATCAAATGTCACCTATTGATTGTGAAGATGTTTTGTTAATTATTTTATTTTAGGTATGTTCTGAATGATCTTGGAGAGGGTCACTGTTCTGGTATAGAACCACTGAGAGTGTATCAGGGAGTTTATGATAAGCATACAGACTTCTGGTCAACAAAAATGCACCAGATGTTGCTGAGCCGCACTATATGGTATTTCTATTATATAACGTAATCACTCCGGGTTTGTAGGTGTTACGTAATTGCTCCATTGTCTCTCTCTGGATGGCTGTGGGCCTTGTGTTTGGAGCGCTGTGAGCAGTACGAGATGCAGTCAAGCCTGTGTCACTTCCACATGATGCCCACAGTCCATTGTTGTCCCGCTCTGTTCAATGTACACCTTGTCCCAGGGAGAACACTGAAAAGTCCTGGGAACTGGGAATGAAAATGCAACACATCTGGGCAGCGTTCCAAACCAACACCCCCCTCTCCTGAAAGCGCATATGGAGTCAAATGATGCATTCTTTGCAGCATCTTTTTGTCTGCAGCGTTAAGAGCTCTCTTGAATTTCCGTGTTACTGCTGATATTGTCAATACATTGTCACCGGCACCATGCAGGTTTCTAGAAACACCTCTTCTTTTGTTGTGGCCTAACGTGTCTTACAGTCCGTTCATCAGCACACAAACGGCAGCCAGAGTTTTTTTGTGCGACACCAAACTCCTGTTGTTCAAATCTCGTGTCTTTTGTGCGAATGGCAGCAGTGAAATTTTACCAGGAAGACTATAGGACTACCTTCAACCAGTGGCCAATGCACGTGGTGGAAACATATACAGATTGGTCAGCCATTGTAATCTACAGCATGCAGCATAAAGAATAGATAACTTGGCCTGTGTAATGTCTAATTTCCACAGTTATGCCTATGTGAACACAATCCGTTACCAGCAGTCAGCAGCATCACATTAGAGCCACATTCTCTCAGGATCAGGGGATCAAGTGTTTTAACATGTTCACTCTGATTAAGTTGTGTAGAATTCTCAGCAAACGTCTGAAATGTTTAAGTGCTTTATTCGATCCCTCTCTGGATGCTGTCATCTTGGGTATAACCAGATGCAGAAGCTCAAAGGTCAACCCTCTCGGTTAAACTGTGATTTATCTGCTCACTCCAAAGGACAGCCTGTGGCACTCTCCATTTGTGTTTGTGTGCGTTTTCCCCTCTGAAAGCCACTGAAATATTAACGTGGAAAAGAAACATACAGGCGGGTGTTGAAAGAGGCAGAGGTCACCTTAGACCATGGCTTTTTTTCTACCAACATTTGATCATTTTAACAGGATTAGAATCTGTCTTGTGTAAATGTAAATTAAACCCATCACTGAACTTCTATTAACATAATTATTAAATCTTACAATAGATATAAATATTCATTTGGGTGGAGCCCAATTTAATTTGTTTGAACATTTCTTGGCTTTACAACTCAGTTTTCGTTCAGACACACATAAAGTTGGTATCAATCTTCTTACCTAATCCTCTGCAAGAAAGTGAATATATTTTCTATAATGGTTAGGAATTCATTTTTAAAATGTTCCCCTTCCAAACACGAAAAAGAAACTGTGGCAGCCTTTAATTGTCATACAAACTCAAAAGGTGTTTAGTCTGTTCAGTCTGGACAAATGTAAAAAAACATGGCGGCCTCTGTAGAGAGGGTCCCCTCAATGTTAATATAAAGTATTTAAATATAAAGGGCCTTTTCTGGGGTAAAGAAAACCACAATTCATACAATTTAGATGAAATGAACTAGTGAAAACATCATGAGGATTATTCTTCATTAAATTTCTGCTAATAGATCCTTTCAACTAAGTCTTACACACTGGACCTTTAAAACTAATCTATTTCAAATAATTGAGTCTTAGTGTGTGAGTAAAATCCCTCTTATATGTTGTGACTTGTTGTGTCTTATGTGTCATGACAAAACACCAGCATTTTACATAAAACACCCCCCTTTTAGGTGGCAAAATGGAACATGAGAATAATTTGATAATGGCAATGGAATTTTGTATCAGCGCCAAACCAAACTGTTGACACACCTGAAGTATTGAGACACATTTTTAATTGTTTTCTTAACTTTCTTTCTTTTTTTGGGTCAGTCATATAAATGATATGAAATCTTCCTTTCCGTCTCTGGTACAGACAACAACCAGTCAGATGACATGCCGATCATCGCCGTGATGGTGGCCCTGTCCTCCCTGCTTGTCATAATCTTCATCATCATCATCCTCTACATGCTCAGGTGGGTGATGCTCTGTCGATGGTGTGTGTGTGTGTGTGTGT